TATATTGTCTCGGGTCTGGCTGTTTGTGGTACCATCGTTTATTTCGATTTCCATAACACAAGCTAGCTACTTACTTTGGTTTTGATCCCGTATGTGATGTTGCCTAATATTTAGTTTAAAAAATAATAACAGTATGCTTAAGAATCTCTGAAAGTTTTTCTTTTCTTAACAAGGCACCTTTACAGCTACAAACGCTAAAATGGTTCCACTATAGTCCATTTCACATAGAATGGATACTGTGACATTTCAAATTTTTACGTTGCATGCATACTATTTTTAATTACTCTCACAATCAGGTCACAAAAAGAAATAGTCAATTTGTTGTTATACACCAAAAACAAACAATATTTGTTTCAATTGTAATTTTAAGTCAAAGCAGTCAAAGTCAAAGAATCATTTATTCCATATGTAAAATAAATTTACATTTCAAAACGTCACATTTAAGGTACTGCTCGTTCACTACGCTGACTTCCCTGAGAAGAACAAGCAAGAAACTCTAAGGATTGCTCTTTTCAAATAAACTTAATGCTATGGAATACACTTTGAATCAAATTTGTGTGGCGCCATGTCGTCTTTCCATACATCTTTATTTTACACACGTAGCCTTCAATTTTCTAATATGACTTTTCAATCAAAATATTTTAAATGTAGTTTTTAAACTGAGGATATGATAATCTTAATATATCATCTACGGAATCTTATTGTAAAAACGTATACAGTTCCTCATAAAAGAGTTGTTTACCTTGGTTAAACTTTATCGTGGTACCATGGAGTTTGGACTTAGCTCTAATAAAATAAAAATTACACTATGTAAAGTAAATAAAAAAAGAAATGATAAAGATAAAAATAAATTAACCCAACTACTTGATGCGTAAACCAGAATCATCGAGTATATAACCAGAAATAGAGACGAAATGTCATTTAATTTGTTTGAAAACTATTCTGTCAAATTATTCCGGTGACAACTGCGCTCCGATTGGCCAGTCCGAATTCGAAACAATTGGCGGGTGTCGTCAACTACTACTACTACCTTCGTGGCCGAACGGTTACTATTCCGGACTGCCACGCAGAGGTCCCAGGTTCTATTCCCGGGCCGGGAGAAATATTTGTGAAATATGTGGCCTACATTCATTTCTCTCGTGACTTTGGGTGTAATTTGTGGTTGTCTATGTGTGTGTCATGTATGTTAAGTGTGTGCGTTATTGTTTTAGTAGCTTAATAACATCCTTTTTATTTCGTTTATTAATTGTTCTTAAACCATAGCTCTAAATCGACTCTCTCTTCGTAACAAACTGTCACGATGAGATATATGAATCGATTTTTTTCCATTTGATTTTACATCACTTTCTTACATCACACATCTCTAGAAACTTCAAATCTCAAACGTCACCGTACCTATGCTATGTGAAATGGACTATAGTTTATTATAATAATTAACACAAAGATCGAACACAAAGAAAACTTCCCTTGATTACAAACCCTAGACATACAAACGCTGGCATACAGACGCTGGTTGGAGTCCTATTAGATCGAATGAATTTTTCTTTATATATACGTTTAATCTATTACATTACCAAGCTACTATAGGTGACCATAAACAAACTAGTATGATGAAAATTATCTTATAACTTGTAGAAATTATCAAAGAGAAAACTCATCAGTCAATAGGCCGCTATATTAAGAATCCATTATTAGACTCTGTAGAGGATATTGATTTTCTAAAATGAGAAAGTAGGTCGGATGCATATTACCTGAATTTTAATTTTGAAATGCCTGAATCGGTAACATCAAATTGTTCGAAACTAAAATAGTGAGGTTGGAAATAAGAATTACTTTTACCACATTCGCGCGAGCATCGTGCCGTTGCCAATTGATGTGCTGTGGCAGATATTTTTCTCATACATTAATGCAAACGTTTAAACGGTACGTTTTCTTACAGACTATTAAATGAATGTAACAAATAATTATACTGATGTCAATAAACGTTGTCGTCTATAAACCGCACGCCAGAGATCATTGGTATGCGTGAGTAGTGCTTACTTAAGCTGTGAAATACTGCGTGTGACTAGAGATTCATTATTATTATCATCTTTAGTCTTCTCAGCTTGTTAGCTGGTTTGAACTACATTTACGGACCTAAGTCAAGTAAATGCAGTATAGCGTGTATCTACGAGTATTATTATTATTATTTATAATATCACGGTACGAACAAGTCGTGCGCTTGACAGTAAGCTACACGCCTGTCCATAACAGTTGTTTTTTCATGATACTAAGTGCGGGACGAACAAAACGTGCACCTGGTGATGAGCGACACGCATGTCCATAGCAATTGCAGTGCCACTCAGAGCTTTAAATCGCAAAGATCTGAGGGGCACCGTCACTGCGTCTGTCACCCTAAGATTTAAGTTCACAAGTCCCATGTGCCAGTAATTTCACCAGCACCCTTACCTTTCAAAATCGGAAAACAGTAATGCTGACATTACTGCTTGGCGGCAAAAATAGATAAGGTGGCAGTACTTCCCTGAACGAACTGTTTCACAAGGAGCTCTACTGCTAATATTTTGATATGTTGCAGAGCAATGACGTCACTATTAAAATTCTGTATGACCGAATAGCGTTCTCTTACGTTTTTCGATAAAATAAAAGAAATCAAAGGACGGAATAGTATGTTGTTCTAAATCAATTACAAATGTTTAGAGTGGCGTAGTACGTAGATCTTGTGGATGTGATAAACTATCCTATTGTTAGATGTTTTTCTTTTAAATCGACCACACCGCATTTTCTCGAGGATGTCGTAGTAACTATCAAATAAATTCAGGATAAGAGACGACGTCAATCTGCTCACCATTTGGTGAGCTGTATTTACAGCGATTGTGTCAATTTGTGCCTTATTTCAAAGAGGTAGCATGCAAAAAATGAGCCTCATCATTAGAAAATAACTCATGGCGTCTGCAATAAGAAGAAACGTCAGATGACAAATTTTTGCGAACATATTCCAAGCATTTGCATGAACTGCGCAGATCCAATTCTAATGCAAATCGCGCAAACACCGCACGAATGCCACGTAGTTATTCATGACTGATTTCGACTAGGGCTTGCATTAACTGAATGTCACTCTAAAACAATCCACAGTTCTACACAGGTTAGCCATACTCAAATACAAACAATCTATAAAAATAACACAGCGTTCACATTTGCAAATAAATCTATTAAAATTTATTGTTGAATGTTATACCAGATTATTATTAACACAGCTTATTAACACAATCAAGGTGCTAGCACATCAGGAAAATGTTGCTGTTCATTTATTTCATCCACATTCAAAGTACATCATTTTTCAGTCGACGTAGTTGTCTTAGACGTTATTAAAAAACGTTTCTACATTTGAAACCAAAAGCACTTTATAATAAATTTCCTAATCTCCCTGTGTCCGGTTTTTAACTTTTCATTAACAAATTCATTAGACTGACAACCCTTACCCGAAATAAACCCCTAAGTTTGCATCTTGGAGTTCACTCGGTCCCTTTGAATAGGATTAAACTGGTAACTCTGAGGAAGAAGAGGTGTGCTTTTATCATTATAAAGATACTTCTCGACAATTCATATATAATCAAAAAAAAAATCTGAAATAAACCTACACTTGTAGAGGAATACGCAGAAAGTTCGAAGAGGGGCTTGTTTGCTTTAGTGTTAACTTCTAATTGTCATTGTGAACCCACACCACGCCCATACTGAACGTGTGTTTTGTATAGGGTATCATAAGCACACTACAGCATGAGTATATTACGTCAGGACTACATTATGTTTAATATGAATGCGGTACTCATGCCTGCTGACAATGGAAGCCAACCATAACTTGTATCGTTGTTGTATTTTGACTTGTAAATAAACAAAATAAAGCCCAAGTGTTATACAGGTCGTATCATTTACTAAAAATTTAATTATTATAATTACGAGTAATTAAAAAATGTCCCTTGTAATGATAATAATAATGTATTGTTCCGAAAAGCATTATATTAAGTATAGTACATTTATGTGAATTGTATAATAAATAATAAAAAAATAAGGACTAAAGAGTGCATATTACTTGGAAAAAGGCTGGTGCTTATACAGTCGCTACACGCTGACTACAATTTTCTGAGCTTCAAGCCAGCGGAAAGTGCCATGAGTAGAGTAAATTAAAAAATCGGCAATCAAACCCGGGACGGTTCGGCAGTTAATGTTTGTTAATTTTTTAATTTGTACTTTTTTGTTAACTTTACAAGTGTATATTTATGTGTTGTTAACCATGAATGAATGTTTTTCTATTCAAAGAAAATAAAATAAAATTATAATTATGAACAATGTTGTTTCGAAAAACGATGCGTTAAAATTAATGGCCTTTGTGAATATTGATTAACAAAGGGCATTAATTTTAACATGAGATTTTTTTATGAAGAAGGTTCTAATCTCTCACTAGCAGTTCAGAATGCCGAAAAATCCAGTTACAAAGATCTTTGACAAAAACACAGGAGAATTTCGACAACTGGATAACTTGACCCATAGCCCGGGTTGTAAGAGTAATACTACGGTGCAGTATGGTCGTGGCTTCAAGTCCCATCGGGTCGGAAAGGTTTTTCTATATGTCCGAGCTTTGTGTTAGTAAACCTAATAAAAACTACAAACACTTCACAAAATGTATTATTATTAATACATAAATAATACTTTACGTACTTAAAAATTGTTAAGGGAGAGTTACAAAGTTTACTACTTCACAAAACAATTTATTCGCTCACTAGCATCGTTCTTTGTAAAACAACAAAATTGTTAAAACCTCTAACAATGTTTATAAAAGGAAAACGCCTTTAAATAGAGAAACAGAATCAAACGCTTCCTTCCTATTTTTCTTTTTAAATTTTGTAACACGAAGAGAGAAAGTTCCCTAACGCTTCCTTGTTAAATCGAAACTAATTTTCACAGCAACTAACAGGACTAACAATTTCCATTTTCTTTGTTCACAGATTGCCGTCTTTCGCCGCTTTATTGAAACAATTAACTCAGAAAAGAAACACTAAAACTAACATAGTGATCAAAACTGCTTCAGAAACAGTCAACGACACCTTCGAAAGAAATCACAATCCTAAGCTATTATCTCTCATCCCATTCAAGTCGTTAGTTGAGTGCCCAAATGTCCCTTGAATTATTTAACATGTCAAATATCCTCTTCAGCCCTTTGTGACAAAACTCAGCCTCAAATAACATTAGTGCTTGTCGTTTCCAATTTGACTCAGGTTTGTCTTAATGGAATTTGGTCGTCTGTTTCAATAAATAATGGTGTAAGTGTTTTGAACTTATAATTAAATTAGTGGTTAATAACCACGAAGACGTGGGTGATGAAGAACATAACAACAACTTGGAAATGATGCCAAGATAGTGAATGGTTAGGGTGCGATTACATTACCGACGCAATAGCGATTATAGAAAACGACATTTATTTGCAATATAATACATATTTTGTGAAAGATTTAAAAGTAATTTAATGATTGTGGAAAAACTCGCGGAATTAGAAGAATTGATGGAGTCGATTCGAGAGCGTTTATAGCAAAAGTTATTCTGTGAAGGAATATTTTTTACCAACTAAATTTGTAACTAATGAACGTGCGAACAATGCATGCGAGTGAGTGTTCAGTGAGCGTGATGGTGCGGTTTCATTAGCGAGCGGAGCTGGTTCGAGTTAAAGCTGGGTGCGCAACGCCACGGCGTCGCCGGTGGAGGGTCGCGGGGGCGCGGGGGACGAGGCCGATCCCGCGCCCGCGCCCGCGGCCGACGCGGAGGCGCCCGTGCGCCGCCGCCGCCACCGCCCACTCTACCGCCGCCTCTTCCACTATGTCCGCACTGCATGGACCGGCGTCAAGTTTGCTCTAGGTATGCTCCATATTTTATACTAGGTATTCACTTAATGTAGTTAATTTTCGATAGTGTTCAAAATTCTCAATTTTGTTTACATAAATATTTCTTACTGAAATATTACGAAAATTTGCTAAAACATTCATTTCATTATTAATTTATATACTTACACATTTTGCTCTCTATACTCTTCATATCGTTATCATAAACTTAAACCTTCTTTCTCCTTGACCATTTCCATATCAACCTTTCTAAAACGAAACGGTTAACCTAAGTAACCAATACTCGAAAATGTGAAGTATACTTAACCCCAGTGCTCGTTCCCTCTATGCAGGAAAAGAATTGGGTAAAAATTTACGGAAAAATCAAAGCTCTTGAGGGTAATGAGTTGACTATTTATAAGACTCCGGAGACTTCAGCGCTGCGTACCTAACGTATACAACACGAACAAAGACAAAGTTTTAACTTGGAATATACAGAACAAACATTTTCGAATCTTAGGATACTTTAACAATCACTTGTTCTTGCTGGAATTACTTGCGCTTTGTTTTGTTATGTATGAAAAATATATACTATAACACAAATACAAACAAATATTACACAATATATAAATCATATAAATACTTATTTAACACAAAATCAACTTCTTTGTTATAACATTATTCATCATATGTAAAAACATGTCCGAACCTACTTCCGCTAATGGTAAAATGATATCAATTAGTAGTTAGTGGCCTATATTCGACAGACCGCACACAATTGAGAAATGAAAACTGTTTTCTCGCTAATAGAAAATGTTTAAGTCATAATAATGCATGAATACAAATTAAAATACTGCACGTTTTCGATGCACCCTATATACAGGGTTTTTTTTTTGTAAAATTCTAACAACCTCGTAGGAATTAGTAACATCATAAACAACAATTTTGATTTTACTTTCCTACAAAAATAAAGGTATTTAAATAGATCATTCTAAAAAGTGACAAATCTGTGCGATAACAAAATACAACTTGCTTCCTGTCCGATGCATAACGCAGGAGCGAGGAATTGGGGTGGTCGGGGTGCAGGTTTAGAGCAGCAGTAGAGCTTCTGGTGAAAGAGTTCATCCAAGGAAGTACAGCCACCTTACCTATTTCTGCCGCCATTACAAACACATATTACATTACTTCCGGTTTGGAAGGGTAAGGGTGCTGGTGAAATTACGGGCACATGGAACTTGTCAAATTATGCCTCACGGTGACGGGCGCAGTGACAGTGACCCTAAGATCTTTGCGATTTAAAGTTCTGAGTGGCACTGCAACTGCTAAGGATAGGCGTGTCGTTAACCACCAGGTGCACAACTTGATCGCCCTGTCACATGGTATTATAAAATAAAAGGTTTGAACTTGCAAGTTGCATACATACATAGATCTAAGGTATGCGATACAAAAAATAACTTAAAATTTTTGGTAAATTTATTACGTTTTCTAATAAGTCATGGAACAATTGATGTTGCTTATGATGTCGATGTATATTACAAATAATCCTATATAACAATCTGCACTTCAAATGTACCATATGATTGAACAATTATTTCTATATGAAATGAAACTATTTTTCCGGATTTAAATCGCGTATATTCTAATTTCTATTAATAATTAAAATAAATTGAACTTAATAAAAATTCATTCAATAAAATAATTTGTAAAACTTAATATAGCGTAAATTGGAATGTTTTCTTTGTAAAATTAAAAATAAGGTATTTAATTAATAGCTATTGTAATTATAGTGGAAAAAATAGGGTGGTTTGCTTCAATATTAGACATAACTGGTTGAAGACTGTACCACCTCAGTCAACCGTGACCATGGGACCTGTAAAGGGCCCGAAACGTCGGTTTGTTTGAAAAAACAAATATACGCGATTTAAATCCGGTAAAATAGTTTCATTTCCTATGTGTAACAATCGCGAAAACCTAAGAACTCGATAATTATTTCTATAACTAATAATAGTATGTCGAGTAGGTACTTATTCCAAAATATGATTATTTTTTGCTGAAAATCACTGTCCGTAAATATTTATAAATTAATTAAATTTATATTCCCTTTAATTTCAAAGACTTGCGGTTTACCGGATCCAAAATAGTAACATTTCTATTAAGAATTTATTCACTGAAATCAAATATAAAATGAGGTCAAAAGCGACTAATGGAAATAGCGATTGGTATTTACATAATTCGAAATTGCTCTTAAAAGAGCTTCTCATTCGAAATGTGAGTGTGGAGTTAAACCTAAAATAATAACGCAGCACTTCCACGTTTCGACGAATTACGATTATTATTATTGTAAAACAAAGGCAGATCTCACATGTAACATCTGTCGCGGCGATACGCGACTGTACGAAGCGACAGCTGTATGCAACACTGTAATAGAAAAACGCATCCAATGATATAATATCATTCATGTTACGTGGCACCGCCAATTTTTACAGTCATTCATTCTGGTAAGATTAAGTTAACTTAAGTGTTATTACAATTTAGAAGGATGAAAAAAATAAACTAACCTGGTTTCAACTACAAATAACTTAACAAAACACATTAACACAACCAAACCAGTTACACAACAAACTCCAACCAACACTTAACTCAATATTTATTCGGTAGAAGCGCAGCCACCGCCGACAAATTTACACAATGTACAGAAAAACGATATAGTTTATGTTATATTGCATTTAACAATGTTTTGTTTGAAAAAAAACAATCAAGTATATAGTAATAGATGATTACAATACCAAATCGGAAAAAAAGTCCAAAATAAAACGATTTAACATTCACAAAAGTTTAGCGCATGGCAAAGAAACATTTAATTTGGAGCCCGCATCGTGTTGAAAGTTTTCTCAACTATTTTCATATACTTAAGGAAACTAAAACTTTAACCAAGTGCTTTACCTCAACGATAAGATTGTCTTAGAAGTGATGGTACCTGGAGCAGACAAGTCAAGTTGCATTTGCATACAAACAAACTTAAAAAACGTAATGCCTCTTAGGCTTTATTCAGAGTGGCGGTGGGCGCGGGTACGGGCGCGAGTGCGCTCACAGTAGGTCTATTGGCTCCGTCCGCTCGTACTTTTCACAGCATTTGATCTAGCGTCTAGCATCTGTTTGCGATTTGGACGTGTGGATCTACCCACTTGTAGCCGCTTCGGCACAGAAAGGGAAGACGCCAAGACCAGCGGACCCGCACCCGCCGCCGCACCCGCGCTTGCACTCTGAATGAACCCTTAGTCAGATAGGCCAACGACCACAGAAAGATGGCTGGGTATGATTGAATGAGAAAGGCACGAGCGAATGTAGAATTGCAATTTAAGGTTTTGAGTAGTGATAAATGTATAATAATTAAAACGACAATAAATTTAATTGATTTACATAATAACATTTTAAAAAATTTGAATAAAATTTCGTAACAACTGTCACATTAGTATTGAAACTTATCTCTGAGGAAGAAATAGCAAAAAGTTGCTGTAGAGCTCCTTGTGAAAGAGTTCGTCCAGTGAACGGCCTCAAGTGCTGGTGAAGTTACAGCGAAATCTTTGCGACTTAGAGCTCTCATTGATACTGCAACCGTCATAGACAGACTTAATTTAACATAATTTGTTCGTCCGGTCACTTGCTATCACGAAAAAAATATGAAATAACTAAAAACATAAACAAAGAGTTGCTTTTTTCTTTTGAAAATTATTTATACTGAAATATAAAAAACAACTAAAAATGCTGTTAATATTTAAACCCCTATAAGCACCTCATAAGGACCAAAATATAACCACTTCTGGATAATATCACACGAATATGAAGTGAAGACATTATTACCATAACTTCTATATTGGACCGGTTCTCATCATTGTAACATTAGGGCGTCATAATCGTAAAAAGGTACGGTCTGCAAATAGTAAATTTTGCGGTAAGCCTCTAGGTCGCAAACATAACGGTATATGAGCACATAATTTTCAATATCGCCCGTATTAACCTATGTTATTAATAATATTGTTAACGAGGAATTTACATTAAGATACTGTATGTTTTCTTCAAATTGTCTTATTAAATGTAATTTGTTTTATTATTATTGATACGAAGATGGAAAACGAAGAAAAATTCCTCCGATCTGACTAAAGTAGTCGGTTGTCGAACTGGGCTACATACTGACTCAGCAGATCTTAGGAATTCTTTATGTGTTTGTTACTGATCTTTTTATTAGTTTTTAACGGCTTTTTTACTTACTTACTTTACTAACAATTTTTTTTTATTGTTTCGAAGACCCACAATATCATTTGGATTATTATTAACCCACAAAACTCGAAAATTGAAATATTAATGCCAAATGGCAGGTTCGTCTACATTTTACAAACATAAACTAAGTGATTTGAAACCTCCAAATAATTTTAAAAAATGGTAAAAACTATTGACATAGCCACTATGACTAAAAATCTTTGGGCACCATTTTCTCAAAACTATGATCATGTTGATGGACACGTTATTGCTTATCAGCATCTATTTATGTTTATTATAACGAATGTTTACGATCCATTTTCTCTGCTGTCCCTGAACAACGATTTAATAAAATAAAAGGGGCTTAAAAGACGCCAAGTTAACTTTAGAGTACAAAATGAATTAAATGAGCCACTTAACGCCTTCTGAAGCTTAGGTATTTTATTTTATACATTGTACGTTGTAATATGTTGATTGTAATATGTACATCGAGATGTGTTTTCAAGTGCAATTAAGAGGGAGCAGAGGAAAAATTCCTAATCTTCTATTTGATTTTAGAGGGGTATATCCACTTTAAAGTTAAAAATAAAATATTGTATGAGTAACTACACGATATAATCAAGCACAGACATTAATCAGAAACATAAAACAATAAAGTTTCCTCGATAGATAAAAATCACGAAATGACCTCTAACTTTCACATTTTTTTCGATTTATCCTCGAAATGCCACAGGTTATTAGGACAAAAATTAGATAATTAATTATATTTATGCATGATCG